GCCTGCGGCCCGCCCCGCCGCTATGCTTGGGTCGTGGACCAGAGGGTTGTTTTGAGACTTCTCGGGTTCTCCTGGGTGGCGTTGTGGGTTCTTGTCTAGGGTGTGTTGCTCAGGGGCTTCGGGGGCGGTCGTGATCGCCCGCAGGAAGGCCGGAGAGGAGTCGGTGCTCAAATCGTGCAGACCCCTCGAGTTGCAGCTGCTCTTGTCTCGCTGGTCCTCCCCAGCATCCCCCAGGCTCATCTGCGGCGCGTGGGGCTTGGCCGAAGGCCTTTGAGCTGTCGGCTGAAGTGGCCCTTTGAGCTGTCGGCGAGGGTCCTGTCTGATGTATCATTGGTCTCGTTCTTACGCCTCTCCCTGCTCAGCGGCGTTTCGTCACACACCTCGTGGCTCGAGGAGGTTGGAGGTTAGAGGGAGCCACCTCGGAACGGGTTACTTGGCTCGCCGTTCGAACGTTGGGGTATCTTCCGTAGACGCGTTGATGGTGTGGTCGATAATGGCGAAGTAGGACAAGCAATTGCAGGAAGGCGTGGTTCGTGGCCAAACCAATTGTAGGAACGCGTGGTTCGTGATTTCCTACAACTCTCTGTGTCGTTGTCGTTCGATACGTTCGCATATTTGAAATGTAGAAAACGGTGTTTCGTGATTTCCTATATTTTGTTTTGCGTGAGGTCGGTGTCACAAACATAAAAACATATTCCCAATCGCACCGTTAACCAAGCACGCCGCCTGCGCGGCCTTGGATCTTGAGCTCTCGTGAGCCGTCTTGCTCGGGGGCTCTGCTAGGCTGTCTTGGCGCCATCTTGGGCTGTCTTGGACTCCTCTTCCGGTGTCTAGCATTCCCCTGGAGGTTGTGTTGAGCCACTGCGGGGGTGTCTCCCTTTTGGTCCGCTTCTCTGACGTCATCGTGAAGCCATGAAGAGCCGAGAATCTAAGCAGGGGACAGTTCTGGAGAGGCCTTACGGCCTTTGCCGCCGACCCTGAACGACGACGACGACGACGACGACGACGACGACGACGAGCGCCCTCGGGGGCCTCTTGGGGGTAGTTTTGGGGCCTCTTGGCAGGCTCTTGGGGTCCTCTTGGGAGCCTAGTGGGGGCCTCTGGGGACTTCCTGGGGGTGTCTAGGTGGCCTCTTGGGGCCTCCTGGGGGGCTTCTTTGAGGCCTCCGGGGCCTCCTGGAAGCCTCTCAGGCCGAGGGCTCGATCCCCGTCTGGGCTCCATCTTGGAACCGCCTTAGGGGCCTTTTGGGTTGTCCTGGAGGCCTCTTGGGCGGTCTTGGACCCTCTTGGTTCGTTTTGTGGCCCTCTTGGAGGCCTCTTGGGCGATCTTGGGTGCCTCTTGGGATGTCCTGGAGCGTCGGGAAGGATCAAGGCGAGAACGTGAAAATCTTTCAAACGCCTCAGGCAAATCGATGATTTTTGCCCATGGGGACTCTCTTGGGAGTGCTCTTGGAGGCCACTTAGGGCGTTTTGAAAACCTCTTGATCCGCCTGGAGGCTACTTTGGCGTCTTGGACCGATGGTTCGTTGATTCGGGGCCCTCGAGGACCTTAAGGCCTCTTGGGGCACTCTTGCCGCGTCTTGGAGCTTTTCTGGGCCCCGGTGCCGCCCAGATGGGGATGCGTACCTGACCCCTGCACCTCCTGGGACCCCCCCCCTGGGACCCCCCCCCCCGAGACCCCCCCGCCGGGACCCTCCCCCGGCGGACACGGGACCAAAGGGAAAGGGCTTCTCGTGGAATCCGCTGAGACAGATCTTGGTGTCGCCTTGGCTGGCGCGCTTGAAGAGGAGGGCCCCAGGGAAAGGAGACGGGGGACGACGGAGACGACGGAGACGGAGACGACGAGGAGGCGACGGAGGCGGAGGCGATGACGGGCACGACGGGGAAGCGGTCTCATCGCCGAGAATTGAGCCTGCGGGGGCCCGCTTGGGCCGCTTTCGGCGGTTCCCTGTCTCCTGGGCGAGGCTGAAGCCTTATGGAACCATCTTGAAGCCATGCTGGGCCGGGACGCTGACCAGGCGAGCAGTATTTGAGCACCAGCAGGGTGTTGACAAGTTGGGTTGCCTTGGACCTCTGTCGAAGCGTGTTGGAGCTTCTTGTTTGTGGAGGTTCTCCCCCAACAGCCTAATGTGTTTGGTTGTTCGTTGGGGAGCTTTGAGAGAATTTCGTGTCGTCTTGGGCGGGTTCGGCTTCAGGAAGGGAGCCTCACCCTCGTGGTCCGCTCTGGGCTGTCATGTTTGCCATCTGCGGGGGGGAAATCGTTTGACTTGCTGACGTCGCTTTGAAGCCATGCTGAGCTCATAAGCCAATCTCAGAGCCCCGAATCATCAGGGGTAACTCGGGTCAGGGCTAACTCGGGTTCGCTTTTCGGGAGTCCGAACCCGAGTTATCCTGGACCCGAGTTACCCCGGATATTTCGGGCGTCCAGAGCCCCGAATCATCAGGGGTAACTCGGGTCAGGGTTAATTCGGGTTCGTTGTTCGGGAACCCAAACCCGAGTT